ATGGTTCGTCTACCCCTCTGATTTCCCCCGCTTCATTCTTCCCCTCCCGCTACCTTCTTCTTCTTTTTTTTTCTTAACATATATTGCATTATTTGTTTCTTTTTTTTTTTTTTTTTAACTAAAAGGGGGTTTTCAACAGTAAGACTATAAAAGAGCTCAAGTTTACAGTTTGCTCAGCCACATTTTTTTTTTTAAAATTTTTTATTTATTTGCGAGAGAGAGAATGAGAGACAGAGAGCATGAGAGGGAGGAGGGTCAGAGGGAGAAGCAGACTCCCTGCTGAGCAGGGAGCCTGATGTGGGACTCGATCCCGGGACTCCAGGATCATGACCTGAGCCGAAGGCAGTCGCTTAACCAACTGAGCCACCCAGGCGCCCTGCTCAGCCACATTTTAAAGAGATACATTAGGTTACAATATTTTATACCATATTCTAAAATGTTTTAATTTCAAAAGAATTATGTATAATTAAGTATATATAATTTCAAAACATATCAGTGACCCTAACTTCCAAACAAGGTTTCTTTCTACTCAGCATTCTGCAAAATGGAGATGGTTTCAAATAATGTTATATGGTATTCATCTTTCTTCTGCCCCTAACAGCATTCATATGTCAAACACTTCCATCAGTAACACTTGTTTGTCAGCAGGGATGAGGGATGAAGGTAGAGGTGTAGTTTAAAAAGTTTCCTCCACAAGCATCTATGTTTCTCCATACTCTGCTATACTGATCCAGCACAAAAGATGTGAAGTATGTGGTAAATTCTTCACGCAAGTTTGGTAAAGAAATTAAAAGTTCGATATCACTTTCAAATTTGATGAAATGATCTCGATTTTAATTAACATGTATTTCTTTATTTTGAAGATAATGCTAACAATTTGTAAACATAAGCCTAATGGCCGTTGAGCTGTAAAAGCTCATCTATTTCAAAAGGCATTTTGACATTTAAAAAAGAAAATAGGGACTGTGAAGAGCAAACTGCAATTTAGAAGAGGCCATTCATTTCTTGAGGGGAAGAGACAAAACTGTTTACAAATCATAGAACAGTACAGCAGACTGGTTATGGGGCATACAGGTTTCAGATCTAAGCCAGGGAAGTAACCACAGTTTCATAACTTATTAGGGGGCAGGCTGAAGAAGGTTCTCATGCGCTTCAGTTTCCTTGTCTGTAAAATGGGGAAAACAATAGCTCTCTCTCACACAGAGCACGAGTGCTGGATGAACTGATGCACGCAAAGTGTCCTGCCACGTGCCCAGCACCCAGCACCTCAGAGGGCTCCACAAATGGCAGTCAGGGCTCATGATGAATAGCACCTTGAACTTATCTGTTTTCAAAACTAAGAATGTGGCATATCAGCTTTAATTTAATGCATTCAACAGATAAAAGCATTTACTCATTTTTATGTCCTAGCCAATTGTTAAATGAGAGCCCAGATAAGAGTCCGTGAATGCACTTTATTTGTTCATGGTCCAGAGTATCTTCCGCCATAGAACCCTTGAGGAATCTGTTGAAATCCATCAGTCTTTTCCCCAGGAAACTACATACACTACACATACATATCTATGAAATTCTGCAAAAAAATTTCAAGGAGGCCATGGTTCTTGGGTCAATAACTCCTCCAGTAAACTGAAAAGGTACAGATACATGGAAAGCCTCCTAGAGGAAACATCTTGAAATTCATGACTTCATTCATACGTGCATTTGAAAATTGTACTCTCCTACTAGGCCATGTAAATGTCATATGTAAAGCAAGTTCTGTGGATCATAAAAATATAAACTCCTTAAAAAAAGGTGACCCACGGGGCGCCTGGGTGGCTCAGTTGGTTAAGCGACTGCCTTCGGCTCAGGTCATGATCCTGGAGTCCCAGGATCGAGTCCCGCATCTGGCTCCCTGCTCAGCAGGGAGTCTGCTTCTCCCTCTGACCTTCCTCCTTCTCATGCTCTCTGTCTCTCATTCTCTCTCTCTCAAATAAATAAATAAAATCTTTAAAAAAAAAAAAAAAAGGTGACCCACTGTTCTCTATTTTCTGGCAGCACGAATGCATCCCTTCCCACATGATATTTTTAATTATAAGCCTTTCTATGCATTTCCCTTTTCCTCATCAAGTCTGTTACTCCTGGAGGTGGGAACTATGTTTCATGCAACTTTCCATCTCCCACACCACCAAGCACAGTGCTCTGCACACATTATGGACCTAAGATGGAAATATCTCTGCCTTGACTGCATGTACATTTCTAACGCTGCTCCCCGCTCCAGTTTGTCAGAATGAGATTTCAAAATGTCAAGAATCCCACCACTTTCCTGTTATTCTTTCCTTCTAGGAAGTTGTAAGAGCTGCAGAGAAAGCCCCATGGCTGTTCTCTGCAGACATCCTGGAGCTCAAGCAGCAATGGCTCCAATCTAGGGGACAGGGCTCCCTGAAGGTGTGTCCTTGGGAACCAGTGTTGTGAAGGGGCAGTAAGGTTTCCATTAATTACAATGTTTTACAGCATTTCCTTAACTGCACTCCACTATTTCTGTCTTCATTACAGGCAGGAGCATTCTGGCAATCCTAGGGACCTTGCTGATTTTTTGCAGCCTCTCTGTGGGAACTCTGGAGGCAGTTTCCTCACCAGTCTGACAATTTTATCCTGAGAGCAAAGGTAAACCGTTAAATGGCCAGTTTCTTGATGTTTTTCATCATTTTTCTGACAAAGTAGGAAGGACAGCAGAGGGGATGTGATCACTTAGCTTCTGATGAAATGACAGAAAAGGAAGAATGAGTAAGCGTACTTCAAAAGACCCCTGGCCTTGCAATGGTCCTGCAGGGTATCTCTGCTCCTCCCCTGCAAAGTGTGATCTACCCTCAGAGTGAGGATGCCCAGCTCAGCAGGAAATGCAGGTTCCCTACAGCACCGACATCCCCTCTCTTAAATCACTTTCTGTTTCATTCAATGATCTTATAAGTAAAATTCTTCTACAGGTACATCTCTCCTTCTTTAGTTCAGATCACAATCTCTGGGTAACACAAAGCAAAGATCCCCACAGTTCTGGCAGGCCATGTGGCACCAAGAGAAGCAGAGAGAAAAATGGCCGATTTAACACACACATTTTAAACCTACTAACTAGAATCTGATTATTTTTCACTGGTCTGTTTTGGAATTATAAAGACAGAAGAATGTTAAAATTCCACACCTATCTCTGACAACTTATGCCAGGAAAAACATGTAAATAAGAGAAGATAAAGAGGGTTTTCAAGTTAAACATTTTGACTTCTAGCCCGGCTGATTAATAAAATGCTTATGACTTTAATGCTACCAGGAATAATGACCCTGATGTTCTGAAGGAATACTCTCAGATGCCTAAGGCTTCAAACTTCCTAATCATAGATTCTTTCTGATGATATTAAGGAATGAGCCTTTAAGAAATAGTTGTTATGATAATAAAAAGGGATAGGTAAATTTAAAATTCCTTTTTTGACTTACACTGTATTCTCTACTGCAGGGTTTATCTGACTTATGATTCCATAAGAGATAGATGCTCTGCAACATGGGAGAAGGTGATAAAAAAGCTAAAATTAAGATACCCATGGTATCTCCCCTTTTGATAGAAGAAGTCTCATGACAATTTTATGAATTTTATCTCTCAGAATTTTCCTTAAACCTTTGGTACCCAATAACAGTCGCATTTTAATCTGTATAAGATGAAATCTAATTCTGTACCAAAATACATATGTATTTATTTTATGTAAATGCCCCACTGTTCCACAGTGCCTCACTGAGCAAGCAAGGCAGAGAATGATGTTATTATCTGCCATCATGATTGATTTCTTCTATAAAAGGCTCTCTAGTGGCAGTATTAAAAAGTTCAACAAGCTGGACTGACATTCATTCAAGGTTTTTCGAAATTCGGTTCCAACCTATCCATCCAAAGATTCATGTGATAACTATTTATAGAGTGTTGCTATATAATACTAAGTGCTAGAGAAACAAAAGGAAAGAAGACTAAGTTCTTTCCCTCAAGGAAATGCATTCTAGTTCTGGAGACAGGTGAGCAAACAGGTAATTTGAATATATTCTGTATAGTGTTAGAATACTTAAAAGCACAAGGTATCAGGGGCACCTGGGTGGCTCAGCTGTTAAGCGTCTGCCTTCGGCTCAGGTCATGATCCCGGGGTCCTGGGATCGAGCCCCACATCGGGCTTCCTGCTCAGCGGGAAGCCTGCTTCTCCCTCCCCCACTCGCCCTGCTTGTGTTCCCTCTCTCGCTGTCTCTCTCTGTCAAATAAATAAATAAAATCTTTAAAAAATAAATAAAAGCACAAAGTATCAAGACAGAACTTAATAGGGGCACTTAGCCCCGTCTTAGAGGTATGAAAAGCATTCCAGGGAAGGTTACCTGTATATCCAAACCTAAAGAATAAGTAGAAGTTAGCTACTCAAAGGAGAGGACTATGGAAAGAATGCATTCCAGACAGAGAGAAGAGCATGTCTAAAGACCAGGAAATGAGAGAAAACATGGCCAGATCAAGGGATTATCCATAGTTCAATATGGCTGGAAGTTCTGTTGGGGAAAAAGGAAGAGGTTGAGGTAATGGGCAAGGGAGAAAAGAGGACAAGGTGGATGAAACAGAACAGTGAGA